ATATATGTATATATATATAAATAAAAAAAAACAAAGGAGGAAACAAAACTACTATGGCAAGACAAAGGAAAAGAGGCAGATGTAATGCACCAACAATACGCTAGCAACACAATCTTCAATATAATATATTTTATAACGCATATTATGATCCAAAGGAATGGACTCTAATACAAGGTATGACACTCAAGCACAGAACATAAAAAAATCATACCAGTACAATAGAAATCCACTTGATACCTACAACATAGTTATTAAAAGCACGTCCGAACTCCCGAAAATAGTAGAAGGGAAAGATAAATCCTACAAAGAAATCTAAAATAATTACTGCAGGCAAAATTATTTGTTTTTTATTAACATTGAAAACTTACAAATCTGGAAAAGAGTGAAGAAATACACAAATTTCAGGAAAACTTTGCACAATTCCTACTGTAATTTTTTAGCAAGTCACACACCAAAGTATACAGAAGGAAGAACAAAGTTCAACAACACTTATAAAATACCATACAACTAAGTCCATGTACATTTAGTTGCCTCACAGTACAAAGACTTCAATCTGAAATCAGTTTGAAATAGTTGACCAAATTAAAGAAAAGATGATTTATGATGTTTTAATTATTAAATTAATGATTTAAAGATTTTTAGCCATGCTTTTTATTAAAGCTGTTCACATTCCACAGAACGAGTTGTTGGTAGGCTTACTAAGCTGTTTAAGGTCAGTATTGGATATTATGAACAGAAAACTTTTTCATTATTAATTATTGAGCCCGTTTTAATATTTTGAATGTATTTTTTGCCTTCTGACTTAGGATTTGTTGAATACTCAAGCTCCAAAAATGACACACATGTTGACAAAATACTTAAAAATAAATGTAGTGACCTAAAAAGCTAGGTAATATAACAAATTGAAATGAAAATTTAAATTACTTTTGTATTGAAACTGAATCTTTGAGATCACTTGTTTCATCTTCTTTATAATGAGTACTTCTCCCCTCTGTATATTGTTTGACTACTTTTTGACAATAAATAAATAAAAATAAGGTCCATGGACAGTTCAATGATAAGTTATATGAAGAAAGACCCAAAATAAT